TTTAAACTGGCATTGCATGTTTGCAACTGTATTATTCTACGTCGGTATCTTTATCAAATAAAATTATCTCTTACTAGCTTTCAATTTGGTTTCCAAGAATATATAAAGTTATTTTTATTTCTAATAATTGTAGGCGATTTGTGTTCAAGTTGTTAAAAAACAAAAAACCTCAGGGAACCTTTGTTTTGTCCAAAAGAATTTTTTGTCCTCGCACGTTGCAGTGAGTAAAGAAACTTTCGCGTGAAATCCTTCTCGGATGTCTACGTTTCTTTTTCATCGTCGCTTCTCTTGCATCCCCCGGCGAAGGATGCGTATATCGCGCGGCACGGGCGTAAAACGCTCGCTTTCGCGTAGTCGCGCGATTATTGTTCGAACACGCTCGAAAGAAGGATCGTGTACAGCCGAACAGACGGTGAACGAACAGGTTTAACGCGGCCATTTTCAGCGTTGTTTGCGCGTTCGGAATGCCGCTGTTAGACGCGGCGTCTTACGACTTCCGGTTCCATTGAGGCTCGCAGGGATTACAGGCTCTTACCGTGAAAGTAGACAGCAGGGAAAATGGGATCGGCTGAGAGAGACAGAGGATAGATCTCAAGAAAATAAGGACTCGCGCTGCTGATCTTTGCCCGGATAAAAGGGACCGGGGATTGCACCTACACTCACGCTTGCACGTGACACATGCACACGTGTGTGTGTGTGTGTGTGTGTGTGTGTGTGCTGCAGTTTCCTGCCATTCGAGGAGAAACATGGAAACGGTGTAATGATCTCGAGCGCTTTGTTCCCCAACATCGTAATCCGACTGCAGTTTTAACAACAACGAACAATTCGGCTCGCGATACAACAATTCGAGTTCTTCTTCTTCGTTTCTCGTCCTCGTCGCGGGGGAACAAGTTCTGCCGCGAGGTATTTTTACTTTCCGAGTCTTTTAATCCGATTATTTCTCTCGAAAGAGGAAACTTTCTCAAATCTGCTATTCTGTCCCGGCCCTTACGGATGTGAAATTTCCAAGCCAATTAATACGAGTTATTACGTCGCTATTGAGTCGCATCTTTACGCGTTCGTGGGAAATATCAAAGCTCGAATTTAGACGGAATTTGCGAAGAGAATATGCATGAAATATCTAAAAATATTGCCGGGTTCTCTCTTCAAAAAAAAACAGAGTACCATAAATCGGGGCAAATCACGAAGCAATTTTTCTATCGATCAATCTATCGTTCGCACGTACGTCGAAGTAGATCGATGCCACGATCTTAAACCACGGGCGAAGTGATCGGAGTGAATGAGAATCAGGTAAGACCGAGTCCACGGCATTGTAATTGCTTCCATCGGGAAGCTCTAAGCCAGAGTCAAACTGCTGTTGATTAGCTTGCGGCCTCTGTATGCCTATTAATGAAGACCGCCATTATCGTCAGCGGTGTATTAACAGCGGGTTCTTAGCTGCTTTGGCTAAACATATCGTGAATGTATATACCCGCGGCCCGCTTTCAAAGCTGCCAACTGTTTCTGCCTCGAACGAGCATTCACGATCCGTGATGTCTCGCGCCATAACCCGGCGCGACTCAATTAGCGGATTAAACGTGTTCCATAGCCTATCGGGGTAGCAGAGCCTATCACTAGCAGATCAATAAGATGTTTTCGACCATCTACGGAATCCTCCGCTCCTTTCTCGTCCGAGATACGAGACTTATCCTCTATTTTTCACCGTTTCACGTTCCTTCCGTGATCGTTTTCGCAGGCGAGCAGAGCTTGCCTTGGGAAAATTGCTCCACGCCTCGTAGAGATTTTACCGCGGGTTTTCTACTTATGTTACGTTAGCCGCGTGTTTCTTTCACACGTGAGTCTCCTCGAGAGACCGAGTTTATTAAACTTTGTATTTGCTTTTTGTATCGACTGGTTATTTACACAGACAGTAAAGAGAGAGGGGAAAGTAACTCATTTTCAATTTATTATTGCAGGTTCGTGTTACTGCGAATTTTTGGCCATGCGTTTGTAGAATGAACGTAGATTTAAAGAGTGTACATATATAGGACGTTTCAAAACTTTGCCAATTATAGGCGGAATAAAACTGAAATGTCACGTAGCGGGAAGCCCGCTAAATGCTTCATTAAAAAGTTTGTGATAAAAATATGAAGCGTGACGAAATATGCTTGTTTGTGCGCGAGTTTCCAAATCGACACCATCCTTTACCGATGCAAAATTAACATTGAAGTGGCATTGAATTTATTGCAGGACAAATTTCGTGTCAATTCTGTTGAATTTCTTCGCACGCAGTTATTATTATTTTTTTTTTTATTTCCATTTCGTGTAAATATTTCTGTACTGTAAATTGTTGCCTCTATGTAAATAAAAATCTGAAAGTGTGAGTCTAGAAAGCAAACTAAAAATTCTTCGTATTGATCGCATTCGTTTATTCGAATATTAACGAAACACTTATATGCTTTTTGCGCACATCAAAATTTTAGTCTAACTTCATCTATGCAACACGCTGGTAAAGTTTAAACACTAAACTTTGGAACACCCTGTATAAGATGCAGAAACGTATCAAATGTATCGAAAGTTGAACATTCGTGTTACAACATTTAATAAATAAAATTGCGGTCTAAGTTCCATTTTTTAAATTGTAATTCATAAAAATACAAAATACATCTGCAGTTTAATTGTTACTTTCTCTCAGAATGTCTCTCATTAACAATCGGTAATGTTAATATCACAACGACCGATTAATATTACTAGAATAACTTTCATAGGCTGCCAGTCGATTGGCATAATTCTTTTAACAACAAACTAATAATTTTTGTCATGTATGCGAAACTGAACTGAAAGAAGATACTAAATAAATGAATATAAACAAACACGTGTAATACTAGGTAAGAGCTGAAAATCACACGAGGACGAATATAGCGTCAATGATTGTTGTAGTGTCAATTGATCAAAGAGATTTGATCTTTTCCCTCGTTTCAAGCGAGTGAAGGTATATATATTCTAAAAAATTGAATTTGATAAACTTACCGTGCGATTTCCGAGATTTTTCACTTTGCATACTAGATGCACGGTTTTCCCCACGAGCCCTGTGAAATTCGACTGCATCGTGGTGTCGAAATGGGGTCCCGTGCCAGGAGTCGGCCATTCCTCCAGAAAGTCGGTTCGAAAATTTCTTATACATGACGCTATACCACCTGGAACATAACAACACATCGATTAATTTCACCGACTAAATTAAAACATTAATCAGATTAACGAAAGCAAACGCGTTGCAAAGGCACGATACGAACGATTTCGATTTAAATCTATCTTTGCGAATAAATAGCAAAAAAAAAAAAAATTAATCGTAATCGTTTTTATTACTTACAAAACATTTACATGAAATATTTGACCCAGAAATATTTGCACGGTAATTCGTTTAATATTTGTTTGAACCGAATGAAACGACTCTTCAAGTTTCATGCTTATTTATTTATTTGTATCAATGTTTACGGGGAAAGGATTCTTTGACGAGTATAAAAGAAATCTAGCGTGTAAATAATAAATAATAAAATGTATGTGCAAAAATATACAATTTTGAAAACATTTCAAAAAAAAAAAA